AACTTATACTATTCATTTAAATATCGGAGTCTTCTTCGTATGTCTACATACGATACAAAATCAAAACATTTAATTAATTCTCCGAAATGATTGAAAATATATTTTGACAGCAAACTGTAAAATGATCTAGTTATATCCATTACAAAGTTTTACAAAAAGAAGAAAAGAAATACTTTAGATTTGATGAATGATTTTTTTAATCAAAGTCTTTGTTTCACACAGACAGTTCTCAATAAATTTTTTTCTTTCAGATATTTTATATAAAAACTTTTGATATGCATAAGTTAGTCTGGAAATGTAGCAGAAATAGTTTTGTAACTGACTAAAATTATTTAAATTTATAATTTATCAAAATTAAGAATATAAATATACGAAAAAGATATTTATTATGTGTGATAATAAAATGAAAATAATGGGCTAGATTAGCAACTGAATCAGTCTGTTATATAAAACTAATCAGTAAAAAAAAGTTTTTTGAAACACTAGGATAAAAATAAACAAGGAAAGTTATGATTTGATGTCTTCACGTATCTTTGTTATGAACATAAACTTATACTCAAAAAAGATTAGCAAACACAATTTTATTTTTCAGTAATGTTAGATATTGAAATATTGTTAATATTCATATGAAATAAATAATACGTTGACAATATTCTTATATTAATCAACTGAACAGCAATGATTTATGAACTTCTTTTATTTCTTTTTCTTAAGAGTTACTCTCTCTTCTTCTCTCAACAAAATATCAATTTAAAGAAAAGAAATGGAAATATGATCTACTTACATAATTATATCTCATAGGCATTGATCATTTTCATAATTAAATTATTACAGCAATTTGAAATAAAAAAAAATTTTTTTTTTCTTATCTTCTATAAAATTCAAAACAAATTAACAAAAGATAAAGAATTCAACATTTATTTATTCGAATTTTATTCACAAAAGTATTTCAAATTTTACAACTCGATGATTAAAACTCTCAGTAACATAAAGATTTCCATCATCATCGAAAGATAAACCACGGGGATACTTCAATTGAGTTCTTTCATCATTTCCTCCAACAATAATTTCACCTTTTTCTTTTCCTTCACACCAACGCACCACTCGATGATTTCCATAATCTGCCACATAGATTTGACCAAGATGATCAACAAATAATCCTCGAGGAAACCACAATTGATTGAGATTTTCTCCTCGACCATTTCCTCCAACCACCACTTTCCCTTCTTTTGCATCTTTTTTCCATTTCATCACACGATGATTGTTCCAATCTGATACATAAACAGATTGATTTTCATCGACAAAGAGAAATGTAGGCCAATTGAGTTGATTAAGCTGATTTCCTTGTCCATTTCCACCTGCCACTACAATTCCATCATTGTTATATTCTCCCATTTTCCAACGTCTCACTTCATTTTTCTTTCCATCAGAAACATAAAGAAATCCATATTTACCCATTGCTAAGCCACAACAATCAATATTATCAATGAGAATTTGTTGAGTTTGATTCAAATATTGAATAACTCGTCTGTTGCCTTGATCAGCAATGATAATCGAATGATTTTGTTGATCAACAATCACATCTGTTGGTAGATCCAATTGATGCATCCGATTTCTATCTGCAATGATGTGTCCTTCTTTTGCATTCGATTTCCATTGAACAATACGATGATTCATCCAATCAGCAATGAAAATATTTTTCTTTTTATCGATAAAAATTCCTACAGGACCATTCAGTTGATTTAATTCTTGTCCTCGTCCGTTTCCACCAGCTACAGTGATAGCATTTTGTTTCCATTTATCCCATATTGGTTCTAGAAAAGACAAATTTTATTTGATATTTTTTGTTGAGTTTTGAAAAGAAATTCTACTAGAAAAGAAGATAAAACATTTGAAATTTATTCTTTTTCGAATCGAAATTCTGAAGCGAAAGAATATTTTTTCTGAAAGATAGTTTATTTATTCATTACCTATAAAACCTTGAGTTTTCCTGTTTGCCATTGCCATGTCGTTGAATATTAATTTTTTTCGAGGAATGAATAATTTACTTATCTAGTTTTATAAATATAAACTTAATAATTCAATGACAATAGGAATGTTGTTCACTAATAGAAGAGATCGAAAAGAAGGTTGTTTGTGACAAGAATTACTAACTGTAAGAAAATTTTCCTAATAAAATTGATTGAATAAAAGTTGAAAATCGATTTTATTTCAATTTAAGAGAAAAATGAATTCAAAAGCTCAGAATCGGGTGTGTTAAAACTTATATTAATAAATCTTCTAAATATATAATATTTTTTCTTCATTCTTACCTAGATTTACCAATGTTAGATTCGGATTGTATTAGCTTAATTGGTGGTATCTGATAATAGGTAACCGATCGTCTTCTAATAACATGAACTAACAAAATCGAACATTTATATGAAAACGAACAATATTGCTTCACTGAGTATATAATTATTCGAATTTTTTTACTAGCTACCATTGTAAATACAAAAAACTTTCTTTGATAGCTATCTCAAAACTCCATGAAAGAGTGTAATAAGCAAAAATATAAAACATTAACGATCTTATCAATCAAGTCTAACGACTGCAGTGGATGCTGCAAAAAATCGGACATAGCAACAAGTCAGATCGAAATGCTTGTACTATTCTACGATCGTATTTATCAAAGTAAAATACTATACATAGCTTCTTTCGGTGCAACCTATATAATTCCTAAAAAGCAAGCATAACCTTTCTGCATCGTTACTATCTTTTTATATTCATTAACAGAACTCGATATTTCTAAATTTTCAACTAAATTTCAAAATTATACATCAATCAAATGGCACCGTAAGCTGCCTCTTATACCTATATATATCCTTGTTTTGTTTTGTGTCCTCAGCTGTAAGTTATCCCGATCGATATGCATGATTTTTAAACTTAAAGAAATGCAAATAAAGTCTACCCTATGGAAAAGAATAGACAAAAGAATGTAAACAACTCCACATTTTAAAGACATAACAATAAATTCTACTTTATGTAAAAAAACAAAAGAAAGAAAGTAAAAAGTTTTTAGTCCTTGAAGAACAGAAATGATTTTTACCGTCTAAAAAATAGTAGAAAAAGAAAAGTAAAGAGGTTCTAATTCTTGAGAAACACAAATAAATTTTACCGTCTAAAAAGAAGTAGAAAAAGGAAAGAAAAGAATTTTTAATTATAGAAAAATAAAATAAAATTCTACTCGAGGAAAAGAAATAAAAAGAAGATTAAATGTTAGTTTTGAGTGTGAACTTTTAATCTTGAGGGTAAGAGTGGATGCTGATGTGTTTCTTATTTGTAATATATTTACACTCACACTCACGTTCACCGTCTCAAGAAATATATACAATATCATTTATATTGTATAGGAATGGTGCGATCGTTTTCGGATTCTAAATTATTCAAGATAGTTGGTATTTGATTTTTTTTCGAAGTTATTACATCAATTCCACATATCGCTGCGATCCCTGCATTGCTTTTCTCTTTTCAATTTTGAATACTTCCTAAATTTAATCCAATAGAACTTTCCAATACATAAATAATTCGTATTTTACTTCAATTCAAATTATAAAATATTTTCTTTTTTTTGTAAAATGTCATAAAGATCAACAAAATATGAAAAACTTGACATTTAGTTATTCCAATTTTATAAGTCAAAACTATCAAATTACATTCAATTGTGAAGAAAAATAATAAAACGATTTTTTTCCATTATTTTCTTATTAAAAAATTTCTTTTTCTTCAAATTCTATTTAGTTTTTTCATTGATTTTCAATAATAACACTTTGATTTTTCTTTTTTTAATTTCAAAATTTTATTTACAAAATTATTTCAAATTTTTTAATACGATGAGGGTGTTGGTGTGGCTGAGGATGTGGGTGACTGTGGGTGTTATAATCTTCTCTCATGTACACTCACCCTCGCCCATACCCACCCACATTCACACCCACACCCTCTAGTAAGATTCTTCAGAATATAAGTAACGTTCGTCTGGAGACTCGCACAGCTCTTTCTCGTCGAAACGATGTGCCTTAACTATCAATAAACTATTCATTTAAACAATTTTGAAAAATAACAGTAGATTCCAGCTCTTCGATCCGAATTACCCTTTGGTCGAACTTTTTAAGAAGGAATCCATTATAGTACTTCCATTTTATCATTTGACCAATCAGTGAAGTACGAACACACAATCAAGCAATCAGAAAACTTATGTTTACTGGATTCTTCTCTGCGAGGAAGAGAATTTGAAAATTTGACTAGTATCGACTGTTGGATTCATCAAATTGATAAATAACATAATTGTACCATGATACTACCTATTTCTGAATGATTATTTTTATCAAATGTGTATCATCACAGTACTGTATTCAAATGTTGATCCCAGTAAGCATAGAAAGTCTCAAGGCAAGCTAGTAACGATTATTTACTTCAGATTTCTTATATGCTAATGAACTGACTAGATTATGACATGCAGCGGATAGTATCAGAGTAGATGTAGGTATGAGTTTCGATTATCTCTTTCTCAGTCTGATCCACAGAAACACCCACATCCTCATTATGAATGCATTTGTATTTCTATAGATAGAGATCATAACCGCATAGTTCATATCGCTTTAATTGTATAGGTTGAATTCACAGTCATTAAACAGAAGATTTCTTGAGTAATCATTTTTATGTTTATTTTAAATGTATAAGCATACATATACAATCACAATGACATCAAGCTCAACAAAAAATAGCAAAAGTGAAACGACCGCATGCATATTTATATAAGATAATGTATACGTATATGCAGAGTATAATACGAGAAAACAAGCACAACAAATGATGACAATATGCAAGTGAAGATATCATATAAGAAAGAGACATGTTCTAAGGTTGAACACTCATGACAAATCAAGAAAAAGTCAACACATTAACTGGCTTTTTTAAAGTTTTACTGTCCACGATAATAATCAGTAGTAAGTCATTATACACTAGCATGTTGTTAGATTAAACATTTGTATTCGATTATTATTTCTATCAGAAACCAATAAGTTATTGTATTTATCAAAGAGGACTGTGTCAGTGAAATCAAGTTGATTTGATGCTGTTCCTCGTGTACCGCCAACGATTGTAGTACCACTACTTGCATTTTGCAGCCAACGTTGAATACGATTGTTACCTGAATACGAAAACAAGTAAGACGAGATTATTTAATCTATAGTATATTTTCTTTTGTCAAAATTGCTCTTACCTGCATCACCTATATAAAGAGTTCCACTACTATCGACCACTATATTTCTTGGATTATTCAGCTGATTCGCTCCACTTCCGGCTCCATTACCTCCAGCGACAACTGTTCCATAAGTTAAACTCGTTGAACTTGATGGGTATTTCATTATGCGATAATTACCATTATCACTAACGTACAAAGAATTTGTATATAAATAATCATAGTAAACACCAGTTGGACCTGACAACTGATTCAAAGCATTTCCGTTGCCATTGCCACCTGTATATGAGAATAAAAACAATATTTAATGAGAGATCTCTTTGAAAGAACATTATATACCTGCTGCAACAACTGGTGACCCACTACCTCCGACAAATTTGTATACCGCATTGTCATTAGTGCTAGCTACATAGATATCATTTGTCAATTGATTTATGGATATTAGTACTGCTTGCGCTACAGACCCGAGAAGTGTTCCAAACGTCGTCGAATTTGAATTTGATGGAAATCTAACGACCTGACCGCAGCCAAAATCTGCTACATACAATCGACCAGAACTATCAAAATCTATTCCATTAGGTAGATCAAGCTGATTCATGTTACAACCACCGCCATTGCCTCCAGCAATTACTGTTGCGATTGAAGGTGGATTGTTGATAGAAAATTGTAGAATACGGTGATTTCCATTATCCGCAACAAATAACATATTGTTAGAACCGTCATAATACATTCCAATTGGATTAGAAAGAAGTGTAAGGTTAGAGCCAGATGTACCTACTTGGCTGCCAAATATAGTAGTTGCATTTTGTGACCAGGATGATTGAGAAGATAGAGAACATACTATAAAAAAAAGAAAGAAAAAAACAACAATTTTACTATCCAACATTTATAGACCAGTTCGGACATCATAACTGAGATGTTCTGATTTTATTTTTAAGACCGCCTTGCCGAGAAACATTATACATGATGTAATGAGCATAAATTGTAAATAGTTTTATCAATTTATGTCTCTTGCTTTACCGTAATGTGTACATTAAACCAACAACACACATCTTTTCCAATAACTTCAGAAGTTTTAAAAAACTCACCTGTTGTTGTTGAAGTGATCTGATCTATATTGGAAAAATGAGATTAAAAAAGGGACAGGATAATTGGATAAGGCTTCGCCCAAAATCTTGCATGCTTCGTTCTACTAATAGTGTAGTTGATTATGGATGCATTATGATAAATTTTACATAAATTCCAATAAATTTACAAACCTTTCGGCTTCTACAATGCTTATTTATAGCTATAGTTATACTAGAATAGTTCAAGCCGGTGAGTCTACACAAAATGCAACGTTAGCATCAGTTCATTTGGAGTCCTATATATTTGTGCGTAGATGTGTTCTATTTATACTAACCCGATGGAAATCGTGTTCCACTAATAACATTCATACTAATAGCATCGACATCACCCAACATATTTCCATTTTGGTTCAACATATTATCAAATAATTCACAATTAGAAGTTGATCGATGAAAAGTAGCTGCTCTGCATTGACTTTGAGTTAAACAGGCTACTTGACAATTCATAATATTTGATGTAAAAACATTAATGAATGGTAAACAAGTTGTATTGGCACATTGAAACTTGGAATTAATCATTAAAGACATTATCATTGATTGTATATCTTCTCCGACTACTTGTGTAATAATCATAAATAAAAGGCATAAACAAATTCTTCTTGAAGCCATCACCAGCATGACTGAAAGTTGATGAAATGAATTTAACTCATAATACAAGAGAAAACAATTGTTGAGAAATAAATTCTATTTTTTTATTTCTTCCTCCTTTTTTTTCTTTTCAGTCTATAGCGGATCTTTTTTTCTCAATTCACCTCATCATTGTGGTAAAAAAGCAATCTTGACTTATTTATTTTGAAAGAAGTTTATTCATTCAGAGAGATGACTTTTTTTGTTTAAATATTATTTAAAGACAAATATATTCACAAATAAAGCTTTTGAGTTATGTGAAAAAGAATAATATAAAGAACAGTCGATCTAATAAAATTGAATTTGAAAAGATAATATAATCAACATTTAGTTGGGAATGGAATTTTCTATAGAAAGTAAAATACTTCTAATGTATCTCATAGATTATACCTTATATCAGTGACCTATCACATCATTCATATCGAATAAAGTCAATCTTTAATATCTAAACGAAGAATAATCAGATGAATTGTTTGATTAGACAAGAAAACTGAACACTTCTTGAAAATAAAATACACTCGAAACGCAGTATTCTTACAATCGAACAAAAAATTTTCAAACTGTAATTTATAGTTCGAATTCGAAGGTACTTATGTTAGTTTAGAAAAAAAAGGAAAAGAAAAAGTTTACTTAAATTATAATTTATAATTAAAATACGAAGGCATCTATGTTAGTTTAGAAGAAAAAGAGAAAGTTTACTTAAATTATAATTTATGATTCAAATACAAAGACATCTATATTAGTTTAGCAAAGAAAGGAAAAGAAAAAGTTTACCTAAATTACAAGTTACACGGCGCAATTGGCGCTGATCATCTACTGAAAGAATATGATCAGATCGGTCAGCATACTTAAAACAGGATAGAGATTTGTTTTAGTTCATGAATCGAATCACTTCTCAAAACGTCTTTTACTGTGAATCATTTTACTTACTTCAAGCCTCTTAAATAAACACCTGGTCGTTCGTCGGCCTTAAGGGTGGGTGTGATTTCCGAGAAGTTTTGGTTTTGTGGACATCTAATATTTCTGCTTTTAGCATGCATCTCAATAGAGTGTTGATTTCTCTAATAACTTACGTAATTTCAATAAGATAAACTTAATTATTACATTTAAAGCAGTTTTGATTGTTATTGAACTTACTGTTATTGAAATCTGATAGTGCAAAAGTTTTGTTTCAGCGCTTTTCGGACACGATGTGACATAAATAAAATAAAAAATATATGATTTGATAGAGTAACCGATGCTCGATCCGCATATATCTTGAGGATGTGGGTGTGGGTGTTATAATCTTCTCTCATCTACACTCACCCTCGCCCACTCACACCTTCGAGATGCTTATCAAGTTTATCAGCAATTTGAAAGACATCAACGATGAATTTTCTTCGATCTTGAAGGAATTTGTTGAGAAGCTCTGAACAACATTGAGCACTCATTGGAATTTGCTATTGACAATGACAATAGTAAAGTCGTCTAATGCGTTTGGTATAATCTTTTCAGGTGTAGAGAATGTTAAATTGCTTCTATCGCAACAGCTACGTCTAGTGAGTTTCTCCCCACCGCCTCAAGGCTGTCACTTTATGTGAGAGGCAAGTGGCAGAGAAACGTCAGTATTTTTTTTCATTATCGCCTTTTACCAAGTAATAATGGCTTTCTCCGGCGAACACGGTCGACTACTCTCGGAAAAGATCGACGATGAAGTTCTACGACTTCTAAAAGTCCGCGATATTGAAGATTTGATTGTGAAATATGACCGTTTTGCACGGGATCATTCTGATATTGTTCGTCGATTGCGACGTTCCTTTGTCGATCGAGTAATCAATCATTTTCTCAATCGAGCGCTTGGTTCTGCCATCGGAGCCGATGAAATCAGCTTAACGTGCAACTTGATCGAAGAGTATTGCTGTAAACATGAAACGGATCTTCATGTGATCTTCGACTACTTTCACAGTGATATTGCAACCGTGGTAATGAATAGAGGTTTAGTACCAAACTGGACTTCATATCTGCTCAATCCAATAACAAAACTCATTGCACGTTCCTTATTTGTCAAACACTGTCCAAAACAAGCTGTACAAAGAATCACGGCACAGTTGTGTCCTACGATGGCAGACAAAAACCCGTGCATACAACCGTCATCTGCATCGAATGAAACAATCACACGATTAAAGAAATATGTACTGCTGTCGATGATACTTCTCGTCGTCAACTGGATACAGACTCAGCTTTTCGCCATTAGTTCTGCTTTCTTTGTCGCAGTAACTATGTTCGCCATTATCTGGACAAAAATAATATGAACGTTGTTCTATTATAATAATGATTGTCAGAGCTTCGTAGAACGCAAAAAATAAAGATGCTGCGGGAAGGAGAGCGAGATAAATCTATTTGGGGACCACGACAAGCGTATATGATACAGAAATATCATACGCCTGTTCTCATATAGTGGAGCTAAGAGAGGGTGTGGGTGTGGGTCTGACTGTGGACTATTTAATCAGTAGCAATGCTCAAGTCCAAACCCATCTACACCCTCACGCACATACACATCCATCCCTTCGCACTACAAGAAATTCAATTCAATTTCGGAGAAAAACAGTCCATTCGGCACGTATGAGTTTGCGTATTATTTCGAAATGACTTGCGCCAAGAAAGAAAAACATTCTCAGTTCAGCTTGAGCTGCGACTTGCAAGTTTTATTTTTCTGTGGAAGAGAACGAAAAAAAACGTCACTTTTTACAGTCAATAGGAATAAACAGAACTGGTGTGACTCAGACGAGAGGAAAAAGAAATAATAAGAAAAACTTTGACGGATACAAGCAACGTGTTTAAGAAACAACAACGTTTATTTGAAGACGTAGAGTGAAAAAAAACATGACAAATACCGTGCAAAAGCTACCGGCAAGAATCATACATGCAATCATCGCTGAAAATTTATCCTCAGACAATATTATATATTATGACGAACATCAAGGTTGGGTATATAAAAGATTCAGTGATGACCTTAACAACACTTCACGACAAAATCTTAGCGAAGTTCAATCATCAAGTCTTGTCCAAAATGCACGTCCACTGGAATCACTCGGCCCTTTCGGTAATCTGCAAATCAAACACGCTATTTTACTTTCATCTATGGATTTTTTTGTTGATTTTATTTAGGTACTCAACCAACTGATGTCTCTATAATTATTGAACCAGGTGAAGTTATTTATAGAACAAAATCATTCAATATGATATTGAGCGATCTTACTCAATACACTGTCGTCGAATGTTTAGGACAACATGCGCCGTTGGCGCTAATAACTTTGCATGGCACAGCTCGTAGCGTTTCTCATATCCCACATGATGCAACACATTTCTGTTGGGTTTATCCACCAATCGAACTAAGTGAGTTATGTGAGAAAACAAAACAAACTATTGACAAAAAAGTATCAATGGGTGATTTATCAAATAGTTCCCTTGCTTTCGGTGGTTTTACTTATTTTCGAATTAATGAATATAATAACTATATAATGTTACAAGCTAATGCACTTGTGAAAGCTGATAATGGCCTCGTATTTCATGGACCTCATGACTGGCAACCTGCTTATACAGCTCATCTAGCTAAAACCGGTCGATTTCAGGTGCGTTCAAATGCCTTAAAAATGATTAGTAAATTTATTTATTTTCTATTTGTAGGATGTTACTGTTTCGTCACTCATAGATTTGGGTATCAAATGTTATTGTTTTATTAATCCAAACGAGAAGCTTTGTAGTTCTGTTGAGGGTCAACCAGATTGGGCTCCTGCTAAAAATGGTGGTTTCGTCTATTTGTATGGATCTCCTGGAAATCCTCATCCTCTCGATCGCTACTTTTCCATTGCGGATGCACCCATCACTGAGCAAATCAGTACACAAGTTATGCCATTCTCATTAATTCGTAATTCACATAAAACCGTTGAACGATCAAGTTCATCCTTACCATCGCCATCTTCGAATGTTGATAAAGACAGATTTAATTGTTCAATTTGCCTCGATCAAACAATTCAATGCATTTTAATTCCATGTAAACATATGTGTGCATGTGCTGAATGTGCTCAAATGATCAAAAAGAAACAAAACTCTCTGTGCCCAATATGTAGAGAAACGTTTACCGAAGTGTGGAACGTTTTTTTATAAGAGAAAATCTCTTTTTGAAGGGTATGAGTGGATGTGAATGTGATATTAGAGGAAACGCGTACATATTCACACTCACATCCTATATATAGCTGCTGCGTTTTCACAGCGAAAAGGAATAAATATATATAGAGGTAAAGATCTCGTAGTTATTCTCTATATTTTATCTTTTAACATCACTGAAATAAATCTTGATTCATTCGATGCTTTGACTTTTCAATGATTACTTTTGATAGTTTGCTCTTTTGTAGTTTCATTTACTGACATTTTACAACTTCATTGAAATATTTGTTTATAACAAATAGACACATTTATGCCATTTAAAGTTCTATCAATCTTATCTTCATCGATATTTTGATCTATACACGAAATAAATGCATCAGCAAGAATTAATAAAAACTAAGTATTCGTGTTTTTATTTGTATTCCAGTATGATACATTCATTCTTATTTCTCCTGCTTATATTAATTGGCTCGGTTAATGGTGGATTAGAATCGAATATCATATGTCGATTTTCTGAACAAAATCAGACTGTATTTTGGACCGGAAACTTCGTTTCGGGCAATATCGAATTTAATCATTCTGGTAATGAAAAAATGAAATTGAAACGTATCGATGTTGAATTAATTGGTACACTTGCTTACAAAAATATATTCGCTGATAATATCTACAAATCAACGAGAAACACTCGTCACTTGATATTCTTCAGCCAACGGCTCAATCTAAATTTCTCTAATGCAAAAAGTGATTTTCTCTTACCACATGGCAATCATAAATGGCCGTTTCGTTTCTTTCTTAACGATTCCTTACCACCAACACTCAAAAAGAGACAATCCTTAGATTCATTTATTTATTATTTCATTCGGATCACATTTGCCAGACGCGAATGGTATAAACGAAATATCAAGAAAATTATACCTATCGTTGTTAGATATATGTCGTCACCTGTAGATGAAATGAAAGTTGAAGCACAAGAAAAGAATCGAAAAGATGTTCATCTTCATGTGATTTTGCATAAATCAACCGTCGCTGTTGGAAACAACGTTTCGTTTGATATAGAAATACAAAATCCGAAAGAAGTCTTAATAGATCGAATATCGGTGACACTCGCTCAATATTTGAAACTTGGTCCTGCTGTACACAGAAGGGTCGATATTCTTAATGAAACTCTCAAAACTATCAATCACTTTCAAAACTCACATCTTCATAAAAACTTTCACTTTTTTATTCCCCATACAATTCCGCCGACGTTTTCGTTTCATTATCCTATGAAGAGCAAAGAACAACCAATCATAGTAAACTATGAACTACATTTTGAAGCTCATCTTAGTGGATTTCCTACTAACATTCGATTAAAACTTCCATTGATTATAACCGACCATCCACAAAATAACTGAGCATATTTAGCTACCATATATAAACTATAGTTCCTGTCTTTTTCTTTAGCTAGATAAATAATTTTTGAAAATCTATTTAGCAAATTCTCTTCTACATTATTTTCATAAAATACACTAATACTGTTTGCTTGTTTCTTTTTAAAAAACAATTAAAAATAAACCGTCTCTGATAAGCTTATAAATAATTATAGTATCGTCTGTATTCATTTACATGTATTTGGATATATTTGAAAAATGAAAGTTATGTCGTGTCTAATTCGACTTTGAATAGAATAGGTGTGGGGGTTAAATTAGAACCACACCCACCCACATCCTAGTGACATTTAATTGATTATCAACAAATATAAAATATATTTGTTTTTATAAAAGTTATTTTTATAAATTAGTTATTTTAATTAAATTCTAACAATTAATTGATTGAAAACGATAAAATATACGTCTAAGAACATAAAATACCAACAAGTGATTATATATTGAATTATCACTAGAAAAGAATCAATATGTTCGATAAAGAGAATTTAACCATATATCATCCATGTCTTCATCGTCAATGCACTGATAGAATTACAAAAGGAGATGAAATCAACCAGTAATGATATTTTAATTATATGACCGAGGATGAGTGTAATGCGGCTAAAGAGTAAATAAAGTTACATACATACTCTCACTCTCTAGTACGACTACACTTAGTCAACATCGTAATAGACTGATCACTCATCGATTTCCAAAAGCGAGTTTTGCACATTTTTGTCATGATTATCCTTTGATTCTGAATGTAGATTGACACATGTTTTCAGTTCCGTTGGTATGTATTACGCTCATATCCATCCTTGGAAATCGATAAAGCGATAAAATGACATTCAAGGAAAAAACTGATCTTGCAGTCTCTTTAACTTCAGTAAGATATATTTAAAAAACGTCAAGATTAGATAATACATGTAGAAAGATGTTCTCTATCGAATAAATTATACACTTGGAAAAGATGCGGACAAAGGAGCAGCTAATTAATGTTGTTTGATCTCTTCTGCTCGTTCGATATAACTCTCGATTTTTGATCGTAACATTTGTTTCATTTCAGGATTATCTGCAACGTCTAAATACATTCATATTTAGATACCTCTCTCCAAAAAAAAAGGTAGTTAAAATACTGACATTTTACTGCATGCATGAGCCATTCAGCTGCTGTCATGTAATATTGTGCAGCAGCTTTATAATTGTGAGCTTCATCTTCTTTTACAGCCTGTTCAGCACATCGAATACCTTTCTAAGAGAAGAAGAAGAAGAAGCAATAAAATATTTGAATGCAAATGTTGCCGGAATAGAATACTGTACCCGAAGATAATCATGGCAAATATTTGGAGTACCGGTTATCATTGCTGAATCATCATTTTCTCTAGCCACAGTACGTACGTTGTGATTATAAGTAGGATCAAGAGAAGTGTTTTGCGATCCTGCAATGAAAGAAAGATTCAATGAGTATTCGTGTCGGAGTCGATGCTAATAGAAATCTTTTGGTTTTCTAGAGCGCAATTTCTTCTATTGTATGAATATCTGTTCTATTGGACTTTTAAACTAAAAAATTCTCATTGAGATCTACAAAACCTATCACTTAACTGTCTGAAACGGGTTAAGCGCAAAGAAACATGAAGTAGATGACATTTATTCATGAGCAACAATCAAAAAATAACTGCTTTAGTGATAACAGTTTTCTTTGTTGGTTTTGATCATCAAAGATAGTTTAATCTAACTGCTGTATTAAATGACGGACTTCGCCACTTTGGAATGTCTTCAGTCGTCATATATCAGTTTAGATTGAAAAGAAACTTGTTTGATAAATTCAAGTCTTTAACAAATGTTTCTGGTGTTTGCTTCATATCGTTTCTAGGAGGTAGCTGACAGCGTGCCCCACTCAATAGATGAACATATAGAGTTATCTGTTACGATCTTTTGTTTTAGCAGTGCTAAGAAATTCAGTCAGGAGGTAACAGTTTATCGATCTTCTCAAGGAAGTCTTTTGATGTTAAGCTTTCGATATCAGCTCAAAGTATCGCATTAGATAGATATCGTTCACAAACGAACATATTTAAGCATCATTCTCCTACCATTCGAATCGTCACCTTCATTGTCGCTCGTATTGTTAAGGTAATAGACACAAACAGCGCTAGTCTTGCTTTTGGTTCCAGTATCCTTTAAAATTTGCTCAATCTCTTCTGCTCGTTTGATATAACTCTCGATTTTCGATCGTAAGTCGTGTTTCATTTGAGGATTATTTGTAATATCTAAACACAATTAAATTTAGATATCGTTCTCAAAAACAGACAGTTAAAATACTGACATTTCACTGCATGTATGAGTGAATCAGCTGCACTCATATAATGTTGTGCAGCAACTTTATAATTGTGAGCTCTATCGTCTTGTACAGCCTGCTCAGCATATCGAATGCCTTGCTAAGAGAAGAAGAAGCAATAAAGTATTTGAATATATATTGCTGGAATAGGATACTGTACCTGAAGATAATCATACTTAGAATTTGAACTGCCGGCTGTCATTGATGAATCATCATTTCCTCCAGTCACATTAGTTGTGTTTTGTGATCCTACAATTAAAGAAAAACTCAATGTATGTTCAAGTTGAAATTGTTTTTGAGAATACGCTCCTTTTTTCTCCTTTTCAACTTTCTGCAGTAGATGAGCATATTTTTAGAATAAAAACTTTCTCTTTCAATGTCCAAAAATACAATAATATCTTATAGAGCGAACAGAGGCTACATTTGTCCTTGACTTGGGTGAGTAGAAAATTGACAAAAAACTGATTCTTTGAAAATTTTTCAGTCCTATCTATCTTGGCTCATAGTTAATAAAAACAAATTTTTATTTGAAACTTTGCACAACGACGGATCTAATAAAAGCTTCATCAATTCATTAATTAATTAGTCAACCCACTTACTTAGATGTTCGATGATGTCACGCACAGCTCTGTTCAAAGGTAGTGAGTCAATTTGTTCTTTCCGAATTTTAGTTCCATCACGTAGAGGACACTCGAATTGATTGTTGTTGCTAGAGGCTATTTGTTGAATACATTCAAAACAATAAGTATGCGAGCATGGCAATATGCGTGGATCGTTGAAAGCTTCAAGACAAATCGAACAACTAATTACATGTTCGATGGAGTTTACATTATTCGAAGCCATATGAACGAATCGACAACGTATAAAGTTGATGATAATAAATCTAGAAAATAATAATACTTTGACATAATGGTATGAAGGACATAGCTTGAGCACGAGGTAAAATGAACTATTTGATATATTGATGCAGCAGAAATTAAGCATAGAATGTACAAACAAGATGCTATCGTAGGTATGAGTATGACTAAAGAAAAGACATCCACATCCTCACCCAAGATCTTGCAGTGTTGTAACCGATGGAATTAGCTGAAATACGTTTTGTTCATGGTCAGATTATATTATCTTCAGCATATCTTGATAGTCACCAAAATCTTTTCATTCAAATATCTGAAATTTATTTTCAAGTTTATCAAAACTGAAGAGGCTATTTACTAATATAACAGTAAAGGAATATTGTTCTTATCATAATAACTGTTTGAAACAAAATCAGATAGAATCTCTGGCATTCATAAAGATAATACGAGTGACAGTTTTCCTTATCTAAGATGCAGCATAAGCTGATATCTTTGAACTGTTTGTTTATTAAATGTTGTGGATAGACTCGTTATTTGAATTAATTTTGCTTATTATTTCTAGTATATGGAACTTCTATTGTCAATCGAAATATAAGAATTATGATTTTATCTTAGATGACACAAAAACAAACAAAAAGACAAATCCATATCATTAATTATACGATGAAACATATCGTAAATGATGTTGTTAATCGTTCTTTTGTTCATCACCTGTGTCTTCTTCTTCTTCTAGAGAATATTCATAAATGAATCAATTAATTTCAAACACGTTTCTATTGTGGAAAACTTACCATCAACGGATGCACCCCAATTTTCTGTATATTGACAAATCAAATCATTCATGGCCGATTCGGCTTCGATAAATTCCTATTCGAAATGAAATAAGAAACTCGAAAAATTTCATACAAATGAGTTCAATAATGTACCATTTCATCCATACCTCCTTCATATGGATAGTAGTGGAGAAATGCCCTTCGACGAAACATAGCAGTGAATTGTTCACTTATGCGTTTAAATACTTCTTTTATAGCAGTATTATTACCTACAGATATATTTCAATAAATTGTATCATTCTTGTTACAATAACTTACCGATAAAATTAGCTGATATCTTCAGACCACGAAGTGGGATATCGCATATAGATGTCATAACGTTATTTGGAATCCAATCGGAAAAGTACGAACAGTTCTTGTTCTGAATATTAAGCATTTGTTCATCAACTTCTTTCGTTGAAACCCGACCACGGAAGATGACTGCAGCACTTAGATATCGACCTTGTCGAGGATCACAAGCAACCATCATATTCTTAGCGTCAAAAATTTGTTGAGTGAGTTCAGGTATTGTTAAGGCACGATATTGTTGTGAAGCACGAGAAGTCAATGGAGCAAAGCCAGGCATGAGAAAGTGTAAACTTGGAAATGGCACTAAGTTTACAGACAATTTACGGAGATCAGCATTGAGTTGACCTATAGACCAAAAACAAAATTTGAAAATTATTATTCAACATAATATCATTCTATTTACCAGGAAATCGAAAACAAGTGGTGATGCCTGACATAGTTGTCGAAACGAGATGGTTCAAGTCATCATAGATTGGCGTAGTTAGTTTCAAAGTACGAAAGCAAATATCATACAAAGCTTCATTATCGATACAATGAGTTTGATCCGTATTCTCACTCAAGTATCGGAAAGATAGCATGGCATTGTATGGTTCGACCACGGTGTCTGAGACTTTAGGCGACGGAATAACGCTGAAAGTACTTATAATACCTAAAGAAATTTTATGATAATGAAATTTGTTTTTGAATTCATTACTTACGATCCGGATATTCTTCACAAATTTTCGAAATAAGCAATGTGCCCATACCTCCTCCGGTTCCACCGCCTAGTGAATGTGTTAACTGAAAGCCTTGAAGACAATCACATGATTCAGGTTCTTTACGGACAACATTCAACACTGAATCAATAAGTTTAGCACCTTCAGTATAATGCCCTATAGCCCAGCAATTACCAGCTCCTAATTGACCTGAAAAATAAATAATATCGATTTGCTACTGATCAACTAATTATCTAACCAAATACAAAATTATCAGATCGAAAGAGTTGACCATAGGAACCTGCACGAACTGAATCCATAGTACCTGGTTCTAAATCGATGAGAACAGCACGGGGTACATATTTGCCACCTACATCGTCAAAAATGTGTTTCTACATATTATCATTTTTCTACTATCTACCAGCAGCTTCATTATAATATACATTGATACGTTCAAGTTGAAGATCAGAATCCCCATGATAGATTCCAGTAGGATCGATACCATGCTCATCCGAAATAACTTCCCAAAACTAAAAACACAATCTATCACTTAAAATCTAAAATACCTTAGCATTTTTATACACACTTTTGTACCAATTTGGTTGCCACATTGACCAACTTGCACTAAAAATGATTGCACATATGAATGTATCTTATAATAAAAACTCACTATGAACAATTTCACGCATGTTAAATGTTTGTCGTTGTTATGTCAAACGTTTAAACTGCTTCCTATAGAAACAATGATGTCTTTAATATTAACGAAATTTGATCAAGAGAAGTAAGCAGTCATCATTAAATACACAAAACACAGAAATACAAAAAGCCATGTGCTCACTTATTCACATTTTGTAACTCGTACATGCATGTTCTCTTTCTCTAAGTAATTCTTACTGACTGTCAATAAAAATCGCCTCTCCATAGAAGCATACATATAAATGAGAACAATATTTACAAATAGGGTGAATGCGAATGTCGTTGGTTGATGGTATTCTAACTCATCCAAATTTGTTTGTGATTTAGATGGGTCCGCTAAAATAGAAAATAAATTTAATCGTGTAATAACTCAAATAAATAATTCAATACTAACGTGTATTTGCTACTTGGCTCATTTGTTCATAATTTCGTATAAATCTATTTAATAATGAAATAATGGTTTTTCTTTTCCATCTAAAACCATAATTACACCGCGCACAATGCATGCTCGGGCGACCACCATTTTTTTTTAATTA